CCAAGTTAGAGATGATTTGACCAATACTTTGTTCATAACAAAATAAAAGAGAAAGAGTTTGCTAAGATCACTTGTGATATACAGTCAGCCTTCCATATATACAGATTCTGCATCCACAAAGTCCAATATCCACAGTTTGAAAATAATAATAATAATAATAATTAAAAACTCCCGAAAGCAAACCTTGATTTTGCCATTTTATATAAGGGGTACAACAAACTACATATCCCAGGATTCCTTGGGATGGAGCAATGACAGTTAAAGTGATATTAAACTGCCTTAATTCTACAGTGCAGATACTGCAAGAGTCCAAAGAGGAAGGGTCTCATCTGCACTGCAGAAATAATGCAGTTTGATACCGCTTTGACTACCATGGCTCAATGCTATGGAATTCTGGGATTCATAGGTGTACGAGCTCTTTAGCCTTCTCTGTCAGAGCAAAACAAACTATAAATCCCAAGATTCCATAGCATGGGGTGATGACAGCTAAAGCATTGTTAAACTGCATTATTTCTGCAGTGGAGATGAGACCCTTCCTCTTTGGACTCCTGCAGTATCCGCACTGTAGAATTAAGGCAGTTTAATACCATTTCAAACTGTCATGGCTCCATCCTAAGGAATCCTGGGATGTGTAGTTAGTTGTGCCCCTTATATAAAATGGCAAAATCAAGGTTTGCTTTCTGGATTTTTAAAAAATTATTATTAATAATAATATTAAAGCTCAGGGGGAGAAATGCCACTCAGATTTCTCATCTGTACAAAATCATTTCCTCCAGCGTTCAACCTTATATTTTGACTGTGCATCAGTTTGGAAGAAATACTGAACCATGCTAAAATAAGGCAGTGGATTCTAAATTCGACATATTTAGGCAGCACACTGTGTGGGTTTTTTTTAAAGTGGATTTACCAAAAAAATCAAAACAAAACCCCTCTACAATAGGAGCTTAATAGGAACCTGTGAGCTTGCAGGATGTTGATGGGAAATGAATCTAAAGATACAAGAAATATAAGAGCAAGTTGCTACAAAGTCCTTGTTTGAGGTTAGCTAGAGCCCTAGAAAGGAAGGAGCCTTTTATTTAAAGCTGTTGGGATATACTGTAACACTTTTGTTGCAGATTCCACCAATAACACACTTTCTTGGCAATCAAAATAAATATTTTTCATTGATTTAATTAAAAAAAAAACTTTTTAAAAAACACGGGGCTAGTCTGCACTGCAAAAATAATGCAGTTTGACACTGCTTTAAGGACCATGGCTCCATGCTATGGAATTCTGGGATGAGTAGTTTTGGTGAGATACAGTGGGCCTGAGAACCTCTGAACCTCTGATAATAGAACCTCTGATCATATGCTTAACAACAAACTTATATCATATCTCATCTGTGTGTGTATATATATATATATATATATATATATAATTATATGTATATATTATATACACATACACATATAATAGTACTTTGCCATATCATTCTGGGTATCATTCTGCTCTGAAATTTATTTGCATATTATTATTATTATTATTAGGACCCCGCTTTTTCTCCAAAATTGGGAATCAAAGCGGCTTACAGTCTAAAAACTCAAAGTGACTTTGCTGTATGTTAGCTTCTATGCAAATCCTACAATAAAAGTCTTGTTTTTTAAAAAACACACACACACATACAAACACACACAAGCCTTGGCTAATGAATCACACTTCCTAGCAAATGAGCAATTGTGAGTGACACCATGAAATATGCCCAAAGGAAACTAAGAAACATATTTTGAAAATGATCTCACTGGAAAGAGGGAGGAAAAAGAAAAATTCCTGGCATGGCGCACAGAGATTGTCAAAAGCCTTGTCACTTGGAAACAAAGATGGGGAAAAGGGGGGTAAGATGCTGTTCAATATGTCAGATTGTCACTCCTTGACATATATATATATATGGTCAATATTTTATTTTATTTTATTTCATTTTATTGTTTTTAAAATATATCTCGGAGACACTTTCACGTGAGACGGATTAGCACAGTCCCCTGTAAAAGAGAAGATAAGCCAACCTGTCCAAGTGAGAGCCCCCTGTTTTCGTCTGCAAACCCACACAAACGAAAATGTCAAGCCAGCAAATTCACACGGGAGTCTTTTTCGGCTGGCATTGGAGAAGGAGATGGAATTAACAGAAATGCACAATTCTCCCGGCAACCATCTGCTGTTACAGAGAGCTTAAACAAGGCAAATATAGGGACCAAAAACAAGAGAGGCGCACTGCAGGATGGAGAAAATTGCACGTTTCTTGCATCTCTGGATGGGAGACGCTCACTCCTCCTCTTCCTCAAATTAGATTTCGGCCTGCCAATACAGGACTACCCTTGAGAAAGAGGTCCAAGCTTACTCATTTTATCTATTTCCTACCTTTTTCCCAGTTATGTACATGCCTGAGCTTTCAGATCTTCTGGGAAAGCTCTGGTCTCTGTCCCACCACCCTCAGAGATATATTTGGTGGGAATCTAAGACAGGCTCTGCTCTGTGGCTGCTTTCTTATCGCAAAAAAAGAAAAAGAAAAAAGAATTAATTATTACAGTAGGCCTTCCACATTTGCTGGGTTTAGGGACGTAGGACCCCCATGAAAGTGATGAAAATGCAAATTTAAAAAAATTATTATTATTTAACCAGAGAGAACACCTCTCTAGGAACCTCTTGGTCCTCCAGAGCAACTTTGTGGTCAAAATCCACCAAAGGTTGACCACAGAATTGTACTGGAGGACCTACAAATGCCCAGAGAAGTGTTCTCCAAAAATCTCTAAATGCCAAAAGACCTACAAATGCCTAGAGAAGTCTTCTCCGGAAATCTCTAGATGCCAAAGG